ATCCAACTCTAAGGATTGGTGGATGAGACTGTTTTCTGGGCACAACCTGTGTACATAACCTGTGTTCCAGCTGCCCTTGCAGTTGGGATGTGTCCGGGATCCATGAAAACCTTCCACATGTGACCCTTCTTGCTCTCACTCCTGCTACTGGCTTGATGTGTGGCAATCACAAATGGTGAGAGATGGAAGGAGCCCGGGCACCTGAATCCTTACCTGGAGCTGCCCACCAATTAGAAATATCTACTTTCTAATTTATATGAGCAAGAAATAAACCTCTAATGTGTATGAGCTATTATATATTTTACAGTGTGCACAAGCTATGAAAATACAAATTGTCTAATGTGGAACTTTACTGGATAACATAATATAGAGTTTTTAACTATCAGTTTTATCTAAATTTTTTTTTTTTTTTAATGATCTTCCTGAACGGTCTCCTATTTTGTCAGAGATAAGCAAAATCTAATAGTTGTAAGGAAAGGGAATGAAACAAAGATGGGGGATTTTATTTGTGTTTAGGATAGTAATGCCTGGAGTGGAAAAGAAAGAAGCAAGAGACAAGAATTCTTCTGGAACATGAGATATGTCCAAAAAGGCCTGTCCACTTGGGGACCTTAATAGTGAAGATACAATGAGCAATGAAAAGGCTGAGAGAAGACTGGGGCCTTATGGAACAGGGAGAAAAAAGGACAAATAGGGGTGCCTGGGTGGCTCGGTCAGTTAAGTGTTTGACTTCAGCTCAGGTCATGATTTCATGGTTCGTGAGTTCGAGCCCCACGTTGGGCTCTGTGCTGACAGCTCAGGGCCTGGAGCCTGCTTCAGATTCTGTGTCTCCCTCTCTCTCTGTCCCACCCCTGCTTGTGCTCTGTCTCTCTTTGTCTCTCAAAAATGAATAAATGTTAAAAAAAAAAAAGACAAAGAAAAAAATAAAAAAAAAAAAAAAAGGACAAATAAAGCAAAGGTAGGAAAGACCTAACCCATCTTTCCATATTCCCTTAGAGTCTACACTGCCCGGCAGGATCTCAGAGCCTTCAGCTTTGTCCTGTCAGAACAAGGAAGCATCATTCATAGGCTCAGCTGTAGAATCTGTCTATAGGCAGACTCTTGCGAATTTTATAAAGACGACCAAGAATAAGGATAACATAAATTCTGTGGATGTAATCGTTTTATTACATCTCAAGCACAATTTTCAGGAACTGTGGAATTGCCTTCTGAACTTCTCTGATGTTTCGAGACTAAGTTAGCACAAGTGTACTGTGCAGATTCCATTTACCCCCGAGAGAGGTTTGTTCTGAGAACCTCCCTGAACATCTCTGGGGATGTTAAAAATTCTACTAGGATTTTTGCTATGCTTTTCTCAATGTTTTATGCTTTGAGCATAAATAGCTCATCTTTTGCTTGTGGTTTAGATTTCATTTCTAGCTATTTAAGCGAAAAATTTAGCAGGGCTGGGGCAAATAGCGGCATGGAATAGACAGGATAGGGCCAGTCCCTCATTCTGGGCCCACAACCTTGGCCAGAACAGAAGTTCCAGGAGATGATATACAGACACAGCTGCTGTCAGAGGTAGGTGGGGACCCAACCCAGTGAGTCCAGCAGGGGTGGGCAAACCATAGTCCCAGGCCAAACAGGCATCAGGGCATCCAGGACCGAAGAACAGAAAGTCCTGGCATGTAGAGGTCAACAATGTAGAATTCAAGGGAAGAAATACTCAGAAATTTACATAGCCAGACTCTGAGAACCTCAATATATAACAGGTCTCAATGGGGCTTTTCCAAAATTCCATTTCCCTTGGACCATAATTTTCACTTATCTGCATTCCTCTAAAATCATCAAACCACAGCCATCTTTTTCTACATAACAGCTATAGCTTTTGAAGTATCTAAGAAAATGTAAATATGGTGGACATCAAAATAATATGAATATCCAGAGACCATGTCATTTCTCTAAGCATTGCAAGTGCTACAGGGAAGTTTGAGTAACAACCATTTTACAATTCTTTGAAGAATACAAGTTTCATTCCATTCAGGTTGATATATGGCTTTTTGGACACCATCACTTGAAAGAAAATGAAATTTCTAGTACTTCTATCCAGGTAATTTCTTTGTTCTAAAGATGGGGATCGATTTAAAATAAAATACAATAAAATTTAAAAAATAAAGATGAGGATCAAGACATCAGTTAAAATCTTTTGAATGCTAATAAAATGTGAAATAAGAGGTGAAGAATGATGCCTTTGTGCACGTCTATGTGAATTTGTCTTTGCAACTCACTGCTTCCACTTCCTACAGCAACTAAAAGGAATGTAAAAGCATAGTTGTGTTATTCAAAGTTTAAATCCCTTTAGGAAATGTAGGAGTTAGAATCAGGAGAATGTTAGAGGCCATGTGATTCAACGTCTACTCCCTGAATAATACCCATGTTAATTGAGCACTTACTCTGTGTCAAGCACTCTTCCAAGTATTTTTCAGATAACAGCTTATCTAATCTTCACCACAAATCTGTTGTCCCCCATGTTAGAAATAAAGGAAACCAAGGCCCAAAGGGTTAAGTAATTTGCACAAAGACACACTGTTTGTTAGAGGCAAAACTGGGATTTAAATCCAAGAAATCTGATAAAAGAGCTTACGGTTAGTGACTCTGAGTCATTTCTACCACTTTACAATACATGTAAGCATTACTTGCTTCATTCCTAAATGTTACTACTAAGATGTATACGGTGTGTATATTTCATTTGGAAATACACGTGAAACATTCAATATGCAATTCAAAGACCCAACTCCCCATTTTTCAATTAAGGATATGGACTTTATCTAATATCTGACAAATCTTCAGCCCCACATAAGCAATCTGTGTACAAAAAAAAAGAGGAGATAAAGAGATCTAGTGACAGAATCTTCGCATTTCCAAGAGCATGTCTTTAATGGTTGGACTACAAATCACCACCTTTAGAGTTCCATGTTGCAGGACACTTAGGGCAATTTGTCCTTTTACAGCAATCTACACCTGTGGCCTGTGGGCCTAACGTTCATGACAGATGGACCGAACTCCAGTGAAATTATCAAGTGTATCATCCTTCTCTCAGTATCCATGCTGTGTTTAGAAATCAGACTGTCTCAAGGGCCTAACTTTTAGTCCTGTTGCACATTTGCCATTGGATTATTCCATTCTGTGTCTGTTGAGTCTGTGAAAAATGGACAGACTTCATTTTCTCTGAAAAGTGTATATGCAAAGCTCAATTTCTTTTTTTTTTAAACTGTCGTTAGATTTTCTATGTTCATGCAAGCTCCAATTGCAATCTCTTCTCTCTCAGTAATACCTGCTTTTCCAACTGGTAATTTCAAGATAAGTGATCCAATCTTTGAAACATTTAAAGTTAAAAAAAAAAAAAAATCTTGAGACTGATTATCCTGTTTCATTGGCTTCACTCCAGGCTGATCAGTGGTTGAAGAGAACACCCACTCCCACGCTTCGGCAGCAGTTTCACGCTTGAACACATCAACTTTAGGATGTCGACTCTCCTAACAGACCCTAGAAATCAGATTCTTTGTGTCCTAGCAGAACAAATCACCATATTTCTGTTCATGGCGGAGTCAAAGCTGTCATGATCTGGAGTTACGTTTTTCTGAATGTTCTCAAGCTGTCAAAATGTTTGCTATGTCTATCAAAATATGCCAGATCCATTTGGGGCATTGGACATGAGCAACCCTGAAACTTTTCAGGCAAATGGGGTTGGACGAATAGCAAATATATGACAATTAAAATGAGGAAAGTGTAGGGCAGAGCATGTCTTTCCTACTAAATGTGATGGATTATATTATAAAGAAATGATTGATATAATTGGGACATTAATTTATCATTATAGGTAGAATCTAACTGGTTATGCAAAACAGGGTACAGCAGACTTTTCCAGTAGTTAGCAACTCTTTTGGGGGGAGAAAGCTGAAGATTAAAATTTATGCCAATTACAGGCTGATATAATTGTTACATTTCATCATGCTTTATTAATTTCAAGGTGGTATTCCAAAATATTGTATGTCTGTCTCAAATTAATGTGGATACTCCCAAGCACCCTCAGAGGATCTTCCGGAGTCCTGAGAACATATTTTAGCAAACATAATGAAGTAGAAAGGAGGAGGGCTCATGTCTACCTAAATTCCACAGCACGAAAGAGCACTTCTTCGTACTCACATGAGAAACTAAAAATCATTTTGATGTATGCGGGTTACAATGCACAGCTGCAGAATTCCAAATTAATTAGCTAAGATAGAGAGAAGGAACTTATTTATTTATAGTTAAAATTCCTAAGGTCTATTTCATCCGTAGAATTAAAATGAAAACTTTACATTTTGTTTCGATTGGCATTGTTCCGATAATTACCAAAAAAGTGGGAGACTGTCGCTCACACGGATCCTGGGACAATTAAGTGCCCCCCCCCAAAATGGAGTCACTTGGAGTGAAGCAGGGGAGAATGTTTACAAACTGCTTATTTGCATTTCCAGACTTCCTAAGGACAGTTGTGCTGGGAGTCACCTTGGTCCCCACTCACAACCATAACCTTTGGGTTTCCAAAACAATGGTGATCTCTAAGAAAAATTGTGTCCAACAATTAATCCTTCCTTGATGGCAAGGATATTCAACAGCGGCAATTTTGAACTAAATCATATTTTTTGGCCCACAGAACTGAGGACTAACGTTACTCTGGCGTGAAATCCAAGCCTGATCAGTTCTTTTCAATTCCCTGTTTGTTTGTTTTTAATGTTTATTTACTCTTGGGAGAGAGAGGCAGTGTGAGCAGGGGAGGGGCAGAGAGAAAGGAAGACACAGACTCCAAAGCAGGCTCCAGGCTGTCAGCACGGAGCCAGACGAGGGGCTCCAACTCATGAACCACTAGATCTGAGCCCAAGTCAGACACTTAACCATCGAAGGTCTTAACCATTAAATACATAAACAATTTTAAGGGAAAAATCTGTTTCATCCTAGTCTTCATGAACAATTTAAACCCTCCAGTAATTAAGATTAAGGCTTACCTCAAAAGCACTCTGTATTTTGAGAAAGTCGCCCACACAGAGCTGGTTTTCAAGCAGGGCAGGGTGGTGGTCTTCATCTGTGGCCACACTTCCTGTTCCCCTGGGGCTCTTTGACCCCAGCTGTGGCCCCTTGTTCAACTCAAGTGCATTCTGGTAACTCATAATGGCTTCACCTCTTTTCAGCTGCTTTCAACTATTTCTATACTTTTTTTTTTTTTTTTTATTCAACAGGTGCCTTTGAAAACAAACCCAATTTAGCAACAGAATTTCCAAAATGAAAGCACATTTCAAGGCAGACAATTAGGAGACAAAATGTTCAAGCCAAAATGTTCAAGGTAGGGAGTAAAAGCCCTCAACCCCCACATGTCTTTAATTCCACAGTTTACTTTCAAAATCTACAATCGAATCCTTTTAAAACACCCCTCCTTATATTCTGTTTAATCTGGCTTGATTAAAAATGGATAAAGCTTCCCCCCATGTTTATACCAACCAATACAGAACGCAGCTTGTAAATCTCCTTTGAAACGCATTAAAAAAGCAACTTCTCAGAACTTCTTTGGCTAACCTTGCTTCCGTTAGCATGTCAGGGGTTTAAACTCCATTTTCGTGTGTGACTTGCCCCTGCAAGACTTCTGTCCCAATGGAGGGCTTGCCTCCAAAGGCCACTTTACCAGCAATGTGCAATTCTTTGTTTCATCTGCTCCTGCTTGCCTTTGTGTGTTTCCTGGCAACCAAAGTGAAGCCAACTACAACTTTACCTAACCCTCCCCGCTCCCCACCCCCGCCCACACAACTAATTACTGACCTCAAGGTTTCAATGTGTGATGTAAATGTTTTTTTTTTTTTTTTAAAGGACAGTTCAGCTACCTCCTTTTTTATTTTATTTTTTTTTTAATTTTTTTTTTAACGTTTTATTTATTTTCGAGACAGGGAGAGATAGAGCATGAACAGGGGAGGGGCAGAGAGAGGGAGACACAGAATCCCGAAACAGGCTCCAGGCTCTGAGCTGGCAGCACAGAGCCCGACGCAGGGCTCGAACTCACGGACCGCGAGATCGTGACCTGGGCCGAAGTCGGCCGCTTAACCAACTGAGCCACCCAGGCGCCCCTTATTTTATTTTTTTAATGTTTATTCATTTTTGAGAAAGAGAGACAGAGCATGAGTGGGGGAGGGGCAGAGAGAGAGGGAACCAAGGAATCCAAAGCAGGCTCCAGGCTCTGAGCTGTCAGTACAGAGCCCAGCATGGGGCTCAAACCCACAGACTTTGAGATCATGACCTGAGCTGAAGTCAGAAGCTTAACCCACTGAGCCACCCAGGCACTGCTCATCTCCCTCCTTTTAATTAATTAAACATCACTGCTCTATTATTTAGAAGCAAGTTTTATAAATATATATTTCTATGAAGCATGTTATATATTATGAAATAATAAGATTAGCCAAAGAAAAGAGAATGACATTCTGGAATTTTATGTTTTCCATATAGGAAACCTTTTATTCTTAATTAATAAGAATCCATTCCTAGCTTCTCTTTGTCTTAGTTTTATGTATCTAAAATGGGGATGTTCATCAATTCATTGAACAGAAGGGGGGAAACCACAGCATCACATGATAAGCTTTGTAATAAGACCACTTACAGTATCATCACTGGTTCAGCTACCATTAAAGAAAGGGGAAAAAAAGAAGTATTTTTGAGTATTTCCCATATGCTAGGCACTACACCAAGCATTTTGCATTCTTTTGCTTGCTTAGCTTTACAACAACCCCGCAAAGCAGACAAGATAGACAAAATCACTCTCCCCACTTTACAGGTGAAGAGAAAAAGAAAATGCCAAAAGCCACAAGAGATAATAAGGTATGAAATACGGGGGATGGCTCCCAGGCTTCAGAGACTGCGCCGTAGATGGATGTCCTCTCTGCACCTTTCGTTCACCTTTGCAAAACTGAAAAGTCGTCACTCGGTATTTTCTCAGGTCTCTGCCAGCTCTATCATTTCTATGAGCTGGTGTTCACAAGGCTATGGTGATAGACAGTACATTCCGAAGAACACAGAGAAGGAAGCATCCTAAAGGCATTCCTACACCAGTTTTAGAGGGGAAAAATATCATTCATGCATCCATTTAATTCATCTAGCTCTCTGTCCACTGTTCATTCCAAAGACCATTTATTAAGAACCTACTGTATGTCGTGTCCTGAATTGGATCTGGTCCCTGCACCTGAGGGAGTTTTATAGGCTTGTAGGAGCAATTACCTGGCTAGTTCATCTTTCATGCCAATCCCAACCTCTTGCTGTTTCTGGTGCTGTGTTGAGAAAGATTCTGAAGTCATATCTAGGCTCAGAGGAAAGGAGTGGCATTATTGATTACAGATGTGTATTATGGGCACAGAAGGGCAAAGGGGGGGGGGTGTTTACCCCAGGTTGGCCTTTCCTGATTTAAACCTTCACCTAAGCTAGGAAAATGTTTTTAAGCCCTAATATTATAAATTCCCCTAAGCTGTCTCAATAGGAACAAAATAGTTCTTTTTGCTATCCTAATTAGAAAACTAATAATAGTTTGGATCAGCTGGATCAGTCTCATAAATGTTTGTAAAATATTTTATAGTGATGTTCTGGAGAGTTGGGCTTTATCCAGGAAGAGACACTAATGAGGGAAGGCTGAGGAAACAGAAAAAACATTCTCTGAAGCTGCACGGGGAGAGGTAGGTACCCCACTGGCTAACAATGCAAAATTCTCTAATTATTCTTAGACAAACTGCCTGGCCTACTTAGCTGCCATCAGATGCAGCTCTAAACGTTTTCATTAGTCAAAACAGGAAAGTATAACGAGCAGCTAATAAATTACCGCAGAAGTTAATCAATCGACACAGTTTGGTTAGGTAAAATTACGGCGTGGGAAATAATTCTTGATCGTAAAGTCTTAAATGGCTTTAACCTTCTTTGTAACTGTGTGGTTAATTTTCAGGTTAAACTTCCACAGCACTGTAAAATCCATAACTAGCCTCTTGACTCCGCTGAAATTTACCTTCTTGCTTGCCGGGAATCAATCATGATTGTTGTGAAAACCTGCCCCAGGCCGCCTCCAATACCGGGCTCTGTGGGCGAACGCGCAGTGATGAAGACAGTTTGAGTCAGGAGAGAAGGAGTGGACGTTTGAGTCAGCAGAGAAGGCTGGTGAGCTAGGGGACACCTGCTCCCCTTCCCTGTAGGGACCCGCCAACACTCGCCAGCCCCGTGGAGCGCTCACACGTGAAAGGGTAGAGCCAGCGGAAGCGTCCACTGGCCCGTGCTTCCTTTGGAACCTTGGGACTGATTCATTCTCCCCACGGAACACGCTCTCCTGAGTGTGCTTACATGACGCCCCAGTCCAGCCCGTAATTTATACCCACCAGTGTACATGTGGGCCTCGCCTTTCCTCCAATCCCCCTTCCTTAGTTTGCCCTCCCCTCACACTGAAGCCTATCCTTACCGACATTCTTCATCTTTGCCTAGAATTCTCCCTGCACCTCCTCATTTTTGACTTTCCCTTACCGACCCAGTTTTCCACCAGACTATCCCACGTGAAGGCTGTCCCAGTCCCCGTTGCACGCGAGCAGCAGAAGGGTGTCTTCTCCTGGTATCCTTGTTTCTTGAACCCACGCCTTCCCAACATGGCCCAGCGGCCAAACACCCCACAGCTCAGTTTAAATACAACCTGCTGCCAGAGCCTGAGGGAAAGCACTAGGCTTGCCTTCTGCAACCTTTAAGCCCTCAATAAATATTAGCTTCTTTCCTTCCTTGCTCCTGATCCTCCCCGTTTGAATTAATTACTCCTTCCACTCTGCAACCACAGCATTTTGTTTATACTTTAAGCACAGCACTTTTTCTTTCTGCCTTGCAGTATAATTAGTTGCCTGTGTATCTCTGTCTCCTACCACATTAACTCTCTAAGAACAAGGATGATACCTCACTAATGCTCGAGACTTACATTGCCAACGCAGAGCTTCGCGTAAGCCACACAGCAGTACAGCAATGTGTGCTCGTTTGTAAAATGGGATGGGCAGAAAGTGAACTTCACCCAGAGCTCTGAGATGTCAGGGAAGGATCCTGGGAATGGGTGACACTGAATCAGAAACAGAAGCAAAAGTCCATGAAAAATAAAATGAGTGAGGGAAACAAAAGATTGAATCTTCAAAGCACTTAGAATAAACCAGTTAAGTGCTTTTGCAACAAAGCATTTTTTTATACATACAGTTTCTGTGTAAGATGGAAATGTGTTGCAACCCTATTCCATCGCAGGCACTGCTCTAGGTGCCAGAAAAGCAACGATGAATGAGACACACGCACCGTTGCTCAGAGACACAAATAATAGTAAAAGGTTGGTTTTAAATGAATCCTACCTTTGGAGAAAGCAGGTCTTCAGTGAACTCTTAGGCAATATAATGTTTGCCTCTTGATCTGCTGAACAATGTCCATAGTAACAAAACCGTATTTTCATAATAGCATTTCTCAGACTGTTCAAGTATTTAAACACTGAGAAGTCACAAAATAATGATATCCTAAAAGAACTAAACATATAATTTTGCAATAAATTGCATGTTACAAATTTATAATTTGGCAGTGGCAGCCAAATTAAAAAATATGTGGAAGTGAAAGGTAAAATTAAGAACATTCTAATTATTGACAAGTATTTCTACCACTTGAAAAGGTGCATTCTACCACTGTGCTTTTCTTGTGTCAGTAGACACATAGGATCCACTGAAAGGGATATTGAAAATCACTGCTTAAAAATATTCTCAGGTTCAATGTTTTTATGCAAATTTGAATGGGTGTTTCCAACAGCTAATCACTTTTGAGCACCTCTTTGGTTTAACAAACCCTTCTCCTTGAAATGCGTCCATGCCCAAAGTACATGTGGGCTGGCTGTCTGCACAGCTTTCACTGGGGAGCCACTTTCTGGGCAATTACTCTTGAACTAGGTTACCAAATTCCTTTATGTTACCTCTCTCAAAGGACACTGCATTTTATTCTACAAGGAGCTTTAGAACAGTTTATCAAAGTCACCTTGATATCGAACACTTGCATCCATGTATAGAACCACTAACACATAGTCATAAAATCATTGCCATGAAAGGAGTGACTGGAAATCCAGTAAACATTTATTGATTTTCTCTTTGAAGAAAGACAGAAAGCAAGTGGGTTGAAAATGAAAAACTATTGAGTTCCAACGACTGTTAGGCACTTTCACAAATGTTATTTTATTTAAACCTCATTATACGCCTGCAAGATACTTAATATTTCTTTTTTTCTTAATGATGGAACTGAACAAGATTAAGTATCTTGCCCAACCTTACACAACTTATAAATTGCATAACGTAATAATACCATGATATGGTCTCTGCTAACACTTCACATCGATTATTTCATTTACTTTGATATCCTTTGATATGGGCACTATTATGGTCACCATCTTATACATGGATAAGCTGAGACTTAGATGGATTAAATAACTTACCTAAGATCACCCAGCAAAGAAGTAGAGAAGTTGAAATTGAAAACCCAGATCCTTTTATGTATTCCATAGTATAAAGCCATGTGCAGAGAAATCTGTTAAACACCAGGGTGATTTCAAATCCAGTTTGAAAGCTGAGAGGTATAAGAAGTGA